ATAAAACAGAAAATAAACAAGCGAGCTTGTAAATTTTTAAGTGATTTAGAGTAATTAGAGTAGAATTTGTTTTACGACAACAAAATTTTAAGTGAAATTATTTTGCCGCAAATGCTTCCGCTTCATTGAATTGTGGTTGCGGTTCGTCAACCTGGAAGAAGACACGACCTGGATCCTCATTAGCCTCGTTCAGGGATTCGTGAGGAAATTTGAACGCTGGGAAATCGATCTGCAAACGTTTTGTTCTTAAACGTTTTCAAAAGGCACCTTTGTACACAGCAACCGGAAGACTGCATCAGGTGACTTGCAATAACACTTAAAAATTTGAAAAATCTTTCAATCTCTACAGTACTACACTTCCGTATACCTTTTGAGGTTCTTCTTCAGATGCTTCGCTGTCAGCAAATGGAAGCCCCTCGTGATTTTGATAAGAAATTTCCAATTCTGGTAGTTCGTGATGAACAGGTTCTGGTAATGGTTCTTCAACTTTGACATCAGCAACATCAGCCGGAATTGGTTTCTAAAGTTAAGTCGTCTCAACTAAATTTAGTGCTTAAAACATCTTTACCAAGAGACTTCCTAAGTAACAATTTTTTCCATCAAGTTTTATTGAAGAACAAATTAAAGTGAGATCGTCGTTATGACTGCTAAACATTTTTGCTGTTGTGGCTGTTTTGATTTGACATTGTTTGTAAAGTATTGAAATACGTTTGACAAAAAGATCGAGCAACAGCAATTGGTGACAACCAAATATTAATAGTAGCGAAGTATGAGCAAATGAAGAAAAGAACTTGTTTAACCGGGTCTTCAGCAGGTTCTGGTTTAAAATCTCCTCCCACTTCCGGCACCTCCGGGACTTGAGGCAACTTCTCATGCACTGTTTCAGGTTTCTGCTGAACTACTGGCACAATTGGAGCAATATCCGGTACTTGTGGTACCGGAGCTACTTCATGCGCAGATTGATCAACTACATAAGACGTATCTTGTGGAGTAATTGTTGGAACTTGTTTATCCGCCGAAATCGCCTGTTCTTTAGCAGGATTTTCTTTATGCTCTACACTTGTTAAGATAACTTTCTGTTCAGCTTCCGGCACCTCATTAGATGCTTGTGGTACATGAGTCCAAGGTAACTCCTTCTGTGGTTGTATGACAGGAACCGCATTCTAAAATGCGAAATCAACGATGTTTTCTCTATTTCTTTATAATGAACATTTTCAACTTTGTAATGAAGTTGCTACTGATAATAAGCTGAGCAGGAATATAATTACAATAGAACAAAAAGTAGCATCGTTGTAAACCTTTAAATACAGATTTATTGCAAGCTTTATTAAAACATGCATGAGAAGCAAGCAACATAAATTTTAAAAAAAAAAAAAAAAAGTGTAAGCAATCAGCATCTTTTTAAAACAAAAGCAAGGCATTCAGATGTTGCAAGTCAAAAACCGGCACTAGAACCGGTCTCTACAGCTTCTGGTTTGTTTGAACAACTTCTATGAAATTCTAACTCCGCAGTGTAAAGCTTCTAGCCATTTGCTCACAACCTATTTCAATTATGACTCTGAAGGCTGTAAAAATAATTATGCTTTACATCAACTAAAATTTAATTGCTATCGTTTCAACGGCGAACGACTTCTGCATCCCAGATTACAGAGTACTACAGAAGGAAAAAGTACAGATGTTTTCAGTCACGACAGTTACCTAGCTAAAGAAAAGGGGCTGTGAAATGAATAAAACAAGGTCCAACACATAGTGGAACATAAAGGCGACGAACATCCCTGAACAAAAAAGGGAAAAACACCGTTTAATAAGCAGTTACTCCTTGCGGATAAGCAGTATTTTCTTGAGAAAGTCGATGAAATCTTTCAGAAGAGCTCATTTTCAAAAGAGGAAGCATTACAGAAGGTTGAGATTCCTGTTGGTTCTCAGCGACCTGAGTGTTCCATTTGCTACCCGTGTTCCACCACTGAACTGGATGAGCAACATCTGTCTGTTGATTTACCTGGTTGTTATCAGCAGTAGCCTAAAAAAAATTATAAGGTAAATTTAACCTAAGTTTGCTAGATGTCGCGAATTTAAATGACCTAATTACAGATCTTATACTGATTTCCATTACTTACCCGTTGAACTGTCCACTGATTATTTTGAAGTAACGCCTCCCATCTGTTGTCATCCTGAACGGAATTTGCTGATTGCTGTACCGGCCACTGAAAAACAGTTTGTTGTTGCTGCATTTGTTGCTGTGGTTGTTCAACCTGATGTGCTTGTGGCTGTTGTTGAACGGTTGGCACTTGCTGAATTTGGGGCATTTGTTCTATTTGTGGAAGCTGTTGGACCTGCGGCAGTTGTTGAACTTGCGGCAGTTGTTGCGGTTGCTGTTGTTGCTGAACTGTGTTTGTTGCAATTCCATTTTGCCACTGATTCCAAGCGTTCGGTATTTGTTGCCACTGGTTCCATGGGTTCGATATCTGTTGCCACTGGTTTCCTTGCCACTGCCAGAATGGATTCTGTTGCCACTGATTATCCACGTTATACCACTGCGCATTCTGAACTGGAGCTACTTGCTGCTGGTAGGTTTGCCACTGAGTTTGTTGTGGTTGTGCGTTTTGTGGCCATTGTTGAATGTTCAAGAAACGGACATATTCTGGTTGTTGTATCGGCTGGTGCGTCTCATAAGTTTTCTGTCCTGGATTCATGCTGCTTACCCATGGTAGGAATGAACTACTCCAAGCGGTTGAGGCGTCCATAATGCCGGACGGCATTTGTAGAATTTCCATTGGTCCATGTATCTGGGGACCCATTTCAGTACGTCGATTGGCCAAGATCTCAACCATTCGGGGGCTGAACTTGGAATATTTCATTATTAAGCACTTCAGTCCTATTTTAATGTTTTAGAATAGGTTTTGAAACATTCTTACTTATTTCTTTTTTTTTGCAGCACTCAGTAATTAAATTTTGTAGCAATCTAAAAACTTATAAGTCTTATGCAAACAAGCTCTAGAAAACCTGTTATCTTCATGGTTGTAGTAGTCTTCTGTGGGCCATGGACCAAAGATTCTGTCAGCTTCTCTGGTTGACTGGTATTCAAATGGATTTCCAAATTGCTGTGGTTGTTGTACTTCTCCAAAACCGTCCAGCACCGAATTATCCTTTAAAGAATTTCTTTTGTACAGAAATTACAAAAATTCTAAAAAAAATTAAGTGATCTGACTGCCTGCATTTTCAGAAGAATAGAAAAGGATACTTGTGCATCTTCAATGGGGTCAACTCTGATTAGGGAAACCCTCATGGTTCCATCAAATCCTTGTTTTTCAGCCTGTTCCTTAATCTTCATTAAAACTTGACGTAAAAATTCGAATCTGGGATCCTGAAGTTTGCCGATAATTAAAGTGTATCTACTGTTTATGGATGCTTCCATAGATATGTCGAGAATGTTCAGTGTGATCAAATAATTACTGTAATCTTGCTGGTTTTTGTTGTGTCATCATTTGTCTGTACCAATGGTAGGGTCGGTGTTGTAGTCTTAGTAGTTACCACTTCCTTGGTTTCAATAGCTGGTGATGGATCATATCGGCTAAAGAAAATTTGTTACATATTTTTTTATAGTATTGGTTGAAAATGTCAATCAGCTTAATTTTTTTTGGAACGATATAAATGAGCAAACATCAAGTCAAGGATTCAAAATAAAAGTCATATTGTCTGTAGCTTTCTGCCTTGATGGAACGACATACTTTTGTCTGTAGAGTGTTTGTGCAATTCTTTGCTGGTTACATTCACTGCAGCCCATGCCCATACGATGCCGTAATTCAGCCCTAAAAATTCAAAACAAGTCTTTTACGGGCACTTAGCTACCAAGGTA